CAAGTAGACAATAAGGTGCTTCCCGCGCCGACGGTCCGATCTCTCGTCCAACTGTATTCCCAGGTAAGGACAGTCCCGGAAATGTTTCATTTGTTGAGCATAGAGGTTGATGGCGAGCGTCTCAACCAAATGCGCGAACCCGTACCTGCAAGGACCAGCAAGAAGGTAATTAGCACGGTGATTGTTTTAAACAACGTGCTGCAAAAAAAAAAAAAAAAAAAAGAGTATTTAATCGCTGTAATAGGTGTCGGTTTCCTTCAGAGGCATGTCGAGCTTGCCCATCTTTGCCACAAACAACACAATGGGTGAGTCGCTTCTGCAAATAAATATGACAGCTGCCATTAGTTTAGCCAGTCGCTTGGTGTCGGCATCGCCACTTTCGAAGTCGACTATCGACTTCTGAGCAGCGATCTTGCCGTCTCGCAGCTCTTAGCAATCTTGCCGTCTCGCAGCTCTTGACGATCCACTGCCGCCTCATGCTTGATTGAATGTAAATGTTTCCTCATAGTCTACCGTTCAATGTCGAGCCCACCATCCCCGTCGCGGCCGTACTGGTAGCTGGGGTCTCCGTGCACCATACAGATGGAACACCCCATGCAAGGTTGACCCTACAAGGTCTACGAGATAATGATTTAGGGTAAATGCTGCAGCCATTTCTCCTTTGCCTTCTGCTGCCACTATTCAATGGTCAATGCGCGTGGTTAGTTGTCGTCGTCGTCGGCGTCGGCGGGGTTTGATGGGCCTGGAAGAGGTGTGCTAAAGCGGGGGACGATAGCTAGGAGGACACATGCAGTGGGACGGGCAAAGGTCAATATTTGCTGTTTGAATTTGCCTTTCCCGGCTCTAATGCGCGAAATAGAATTGGCAGGTAGAGATATAGCCACGGATGCCATAATGGGCGGCGGCGCAGTCTTAGCTTCAGCGAGGTTAGGCTGGGTCGAAGTCTCGGCTGCCTCTAACGTGGATTGAGAGGAATAAGAGGCTCGTTGTTGCAGGATGTGATGACGTTGGGGGGAGGAATTACAGGCGTTCTACTGCGGCAGTGGTGGCCACAGGATCGCAGCCGGAGTTTTACGGGTTAAAAAAACTGACGCGGAAACCCGAGGCTCCTCAGGTACCCCGGGAGAACCACGCCGAGCGCTGTCTGTTGACTCGAGGGCGCCATGCTCAGATAGCATGGTGTGGTGTATCACATGAGGCAGTAACAACAGGGCACTCTAGACAGGACGGGAACAAGCTAATGAGAAGAGCGGTGACCACGGGTTAGGCGTTAAGGATTGAAAGGCAGAATAAGGTTGCCAAAGAAAGGCTTGGAAAAGAAAGGAAGGGACCATCACGTCACAAACCGCTCCTCTCTCACGAGGGTTTCACGCTTTTTTGTTGTGTACCGACTGTCCTTTCACTCTGCCAGCGAGGGGGGGAAGCAACAGCTTGGCAGCGGCGCTGACAACAGCTACCAGACAGATGCGTGGCAGCACCTAAGTCAGATGCAGAATACACTGGCGGGAAGAATCCAAACTTGACCCCCGTGCCATCACGCAAAAAATCATTACGCGTGCCTGCACAAACAACATATCCGCCACTCCTATGACCAACTGGGCTATTTTTGCGCTTTTCGACAAAACCATACGCGTTTTTTGCTAGAGCAGATGAAATAATGTAAGTTTTTTGAAAAGAAATATGACAATATAGCATTTGTCTAGGCTCTCATATGAGCCATAAGGTTAGGTTTGCCAGCGCCTATAAACTATACACATTGAGTCTGAAACCAAGACCAACAGACTAAAATATTTCGATAACGAGAGCACTGCCCGTATGGCCCTCGATATAGGCGCCGTCTGATTGTAGGCGCATACGCTTCTATCCGGAGCATGGTGCTTATGGCCTTACTCGATTATAAGCGCACCCCCTTTGGAGCATGTGCTTATTATTAACGCATTCCCGCTAAAATTCCGGAGGTCACATTGAAGAAGAAGAAGAAGAAAAAACCCTAACAATTAACACTGTCCAAAGTCTACCAATTTAAAATTAGCACCAACAATTTCAAGTTTCCTAAAAATATATATATATATATTTACACATTTCGCAGTTTTGCCGTTCTACCAAGGACCTACTCCTCCTTGTTCGACTCGGGCTCCTGGCAATTGTTGCCAAGAAAGCTATCGACGATGATGTCATCATCAACGTCCACTTCCACTGTCAACTGGCTCGGCATGTGCGCCATGAAGAGCCCGTCCTCACTGCCGTCAAGCGCGTTGCTGATGCCACAGGTGAGGAAGGCATGCTTGATGAGGCCGGCAAGCATTGCCTTCCAGGCCCGTGGGATCTATCTCACGGCCACCACTGGGGGCGGCTTCTTGAGGTTCCCTGCACCAACACAAAGACACGATGGAAACCCGTTAGAGCAACAAAAGGGGGGATAGCAAACTAGCATATAATCCGTTGATACCGTACCTGCTTTTGCCAGCTGCTCTTGGCCCTCTTATTCAAACTACTTGAAGCTCGTGTTGATGGAGACATCGAGGGGCTGTACCTCCACCGTATAGCCCAACGGGATGACCGCCGACACGCAGCTGAGCTCGCGGAATTTCTCCTTCACACCCTCAGTGAGGTAACTGCGGTAGGAATCCAGGACGACCATCGAGCTCCTCGCATGCCTACCAAACCGGGGCTTTATGAAGGGCTTGAACCACGCCGAACCACTCCTCAAGCCATCGAATGACGCCCTCAGCGTCCATCCACCCATTCTCATGGCACGCCATGACCTCATCTGCTCAATCAACATCAGACATTCAGAATTGGTTAAAAATTTTACATGTATTACCTGGCAGAAAATCGCCATTCGGCACCGACTAACCCACAACCTGAGCTTCTTCTCTTTCGCCGTGCATGCAAACATCACGGTCACACGCTCCTTCTTGTACCCCGCACTCCTGATGGGCACAGACCGAGCGCCCGTTTGATCCGTGGTGGTGGTGGCGGGTATCTCCAGCCAGAGCGGCATCTGGTCGGCGTTGATAATCCTCGTGGTCTCGATGCCGCACTCGCGACGCTTGTCACGGACGTATTGCCAAAACTTTTTGCACTGCTCCACGACATTTGTGAAATGGTGGAAGAGGTGGGGATAACGGTACGGGTTAGTGCAAAGTACAAGCAGAAAGCAAAATATACAAGGTGATTCTTACACGCGACGATTTTCTGGGCAACCTTCATCTTCATGCACATGCTGAGATCCCACCACCGCTGAAACAGGTCCGACCACCTTTGACTCCCTTTCCACTTGACGAGGGGATAGAGAATTTTCATGAACTCCCGCGACCACTCTTGCAGGCGGCCGACGGACACGGCGGTTTCCTTGCGGCGCCAGTCGAGGAGCTTCTCGTACACCTTAATCTCCATCGGCTGGCACCACAATGCCCTCTCGCAACCGTGCATGCTTTCGTGTGGAGTGTGCTTCTTTGAGGAATTCCGCAACTCGCTTCCAGTTCGTGAGACACTTGCGATAGATGCCACTCTTGCGAGCCAAAGCGCGCACCGACACTGCCACATCCAGGGCCGCGACCCACTTCAATTTCTCCATGGCAGTATAGGCCTGACGCTTGTGCTCGTTGGGATTGTGCCTGCGAGAGGGGGGGCGGGCATCACGGTTCCGTAAAGAATGGTGGGGTTGCTTGCGGTTAAGAGGAGGATAAGATGGTATCGGACGTTTCTCGGGGAGCCCGTTGCGTGACCAGTACTCGACGCCGTCGTCGTCGTCGCCGCCCGGAACACCCTCGGGAAACACATCCTCAGCGGTGCCGGCCTCGGTGTCAGCCTCTGTGCCACCCTCGGCGCCGTTGTCGCGCGCAGCATGCCACTCTTTCTCAGCGTCAGCCACATTGTCTTCAGCGTCGATTGCAGATTCGTCTTACGTGCAATCTTTGGGCTGGCCCCAACGTGGTGCCGGGGCCGGAGCTTCTACATACTTATCTAGGGCCTTGCTTGTATCCGGTTCCAAGAGATAATCATCGAACGCTGATGGGAGGAGGAGCGTGAGTACGGGCGGATTGCCTGTGTAGTGAGGAGCTGCCAGATACAGAGGAGGAGGAGAAGGAGGAGCAGGAGGCGCATAAGGAGCAGGCGGCGCAGGTGGCGCATGAGGCTGTTGTGGCTCTAGTGGTTCTGGTGGGATACGGGTATACCACCCGTCAGCGTCAACTTTATACACGGGCCTAGGTTTCTTCCTAAAAAGGTGTGTGCCAGTGACTCTCGACATGGCTTCGGCAGCCAGGCGGGCGAACGAAACTGAATGAAAATATGAAAGACGGGGTGAAGAAATGAAAGATTGAAGGGGACCCCTTCTGGTTAGTGGCTCAGGGTCCTCGTTAATGAGAAACAAGTACCCCCCGCCTGAACCCGCATCATACATGTTGCGATGGCAGGGCATACTTCCACCCCCTTCTAGAGGGTTGGGTTGAAATGCTCCTGCCTAGCAGCGCATAACAACCTGATTAGGCCGCACGGCAGGTTTCGCATCAGCGCTGGCAGGTGAGTTGCTCCATGACGGGTTTTGTGCGGTGGGAAATCAAATCGCGGCAAGTTTCGCCGGTATTCCATGCATGATCCCACGCGCGCGCACATTACACTGTTGTATTCACCTTATTAAGGGCTTCAGTTTGGTACCTTTAAGACCAAAATTAATAATAGCCATTATAAAAGCGCCGGCGCTAATGGCCGATACTCAATTACAAGCGCCCCCCTTTAAAAGGTTGAATTTCTTATAAGCGCATATGCGCTACTATCCGGGGCCATACGGTAACTGAAACATGGAGCCTTGTACTTTAGCAGCAAATGGAAGTGTGTAAAAACAGTACCGTTACAGTATGAATGGATGTACAGTCTGTCACCAACCCATCTCTGCATGGCACAACAGTAGGCCTACTGCACCACGCTGGAATAAATAAGTGCTCAATCTTCTCTTCACAACCCCCATGATCCACTCAGCTTCTCACAATGCCCCGCTACAGCCACTCTCTCCGCGACATCATCTTCTTGCGCGACCGTGGCTTGGGTGGCGCCGCTGCTCCCATGCCGCCACCCGCTGCCGTGCCTGTCTCAGGTGTTATGGTGCCTTCGCCCGCACCCTCTGCCCCTGCACACCGCCTTTCCACATGAAGCGGCGCACTGGTGGCAGTGGCATGGGGAGGGTGAGAGGCAGCAGAGGATGGTGGCGTGCAAGCGCAGGGCGTGTGGGACGCAGAGCCATGTGTGCCATGAGGCGCGGGGTGACCTTGCGCGCTGCCATGCGCTGCTGCACATGCTGGCCTGTGCGAAGGCGCAGAGGGGGCAGAGAAGTGTGCGGAGAAGAGGCACGTCATCTCCTCCACTGCCCTCTCCTCTGCTGCCCCCATGCCCTCTGTTTCCAGCGCCGGCGGATGAGCAGAGAGTGTTGCGTGGGGTGCACACGGAGGGGACGGCGCAGCACAGGGTCGTGTGGCAGGATCAGGGCACGGCGAGATGGGTGGCTGGAGGGGGCGTTTGGACAGGAGCTGGGCATGGCCGAGGGGGGGATGGGGAGAGGGAACTGCATTGTGGGAAGAGGGAGGGAAGCGGCCCTTTGGCTGCGGCGAGGGAGATTTGGGCGGCAGGAGAGGCGAGTGGGCATGTGGAGATGCGGCAGCAGGAGCAGAGGGGTCGATGGGGTGCGCAGCAGTGGCCCTCTTCCAACGCTCACTGCCACCGATGGGGTTCGTCTGCCCTGCAGTCGTGCCGCGAGGAGAGGCAGCAGCGTGGTGCAGTGGGCGCCACAGCCGAGCCATGGCATCCACATCCAAGCTGCGACTCCGCTGGTGCCCATTCCCACCTACGCCACTCCCAGCCCCTCCCTCTCGCCCTCCCCATTCTCCACCTCCCCCACCATTGGCCCCTCCATTACCTTCCCTGTCTTCCACCCCCTCCCCTCTCCTGGCCCCTTCACCCCCATCCCTTGCTCGCTCTCCTCCATCCCCACCGCTGCCCTCAATGCCTCTGCCCACGCCACCCTCGGCTGCGCCGCCTCGCCACCTGCTGGTGGCAGCACGCCCCGCGGTGTGAGCGGTGCGGCCGTACGGGGAGAACAGCCCGCCCTGCAGCGCCTGCACGCACGCCGCCACCGCCTGCTGCTGCCGCCGCCTGCTCTCCACAAACTGCTGCCGCGCACCGCCACTCAGCCCCGACGCCACGTCGCTGCTGCCGTCCAAACTGTGACTCACTTGGTGCCCCGCTGCCCTCGCCGCCAGGGGCACGTGCAGGGGGGTGCCGGCTGCTTGGGGGGGAGTGGCTGCAGCGGCAAACGGCGAGAAGCGAGGGAAGGACGGCATGGTGGGCTCTCGCGGAGTGGCTTCCCCACACGGGGTGGCGTCAGTGTGGGGAGCGCTTGGAGCAGCGTGCAGTGTGGGTGGCGCTGGGACGCACACGAGGGCATGAGTGGTGGCGGGGTGAGAGGAGACGGAGCATGGGGGATCAGAGGCACCTGCGGGGTGAGTGGGCGTGCAGGCAGGAGGCGCATGGACGGTGTCAGGGTGGGCACCACCCGCTGCATCCCCTTGTGCCCCCACACGCTGCTGAGCGTGCTGAGGCTGCTGGGACGCATGGCCGTGCGCACCCGAGGTGGCAACTGGCACACAGGCGTCGTCCCCATCAGCACCGGCAGCAGCAGCAGCAGGGGTACCCCACTCTGGCCCCTCCCCTGCTCTACGCTCACAGCCGGCCCCGCTGCTCTCATCCTCACTGCCCTGCGCCCTGCCCTCATCCGCCTGTGCGCCCCTCCCTTGCACCGCCCCGCCCATGTGCCTGCCAGCCCCATCCACCTCCATGCTGCTGTCCCCACCATCGCCCCCCCCACACGCACCACGCTCCGCACCGCTGTCAGGCGCAACAGTGGCATGGGGGGTGGCAGAGGAGGCGGGGGAGGCAAAGGAGGAGCTGTGGGGAGGGCTGCACACACCAGCAGCCGCCGCTGCTGTCGCTGCCGCTGCTCCCACTCCCCCACCCAGCCCCGCTGCAGCAGCTGCAGGTGCATGCAAGCCCACGCTGCCAGCATGCCGTGTGCGGCGGTGCAGGGTGGCAGCAGCGGAGAGCAGCGAGTGGCAGCGCGGCAGCACCTCCTGCAGCGCCGCCCACTGCAGCGCTGGCAGTGCGGCACGGCTCCTCTCCACTGCACGCAGCAGCGATGCCGCTGAGTGCAGCAGCTGCCACGGGGGGTGATTGGGGTGGGGGAGGGGGTTGCGGGTAGTGCAGGGGATACATGGTGGGAGGAGGAGGGGAGATGATTAGGGCGCGCCTGGAGCATGAGGGCAACTAAGAGCAATGCTTTTGGTTGGCAGTGAAGTGTGGGCCGTGGAGCAGAGAGGTGTGGAGCAGACAAGGCCACGGCGCGCTCCTTGCATGACGGTGAACCATACCTGGGAGTGGGCGTGGCGGGGCGATGCTGGCGGTGGAGAGGCGAGGGAGAGCAGCGAGTCAGCAACGCGGGGCAGGGCGGAGAGCAGCGCGGAGAAGAGCAGCAGGCGCAGCGGGCGTGGGGCGGGCGGGCAGGCGGCCTCGCGCATGCGGCGCAGCAGCCACACGGCCCAGCGCACCGCCAGGTCGCGCGATGAGGGGTTCCAGCTGCAGGGGGGATGGGAGGTGGATGGGAGGCAGGTCGGGAGAGGAGTTTAGAGGCATGCGGGCGAGATAGTCAGTGTAGAATTGATGGCATGTGTGCGTTCCGTTTCACCCATCCAACCCATCACCTTCCACTATCCATCATCCACCCATCCACCCATCCGCCCATCTGCTCATGCACTGATTCACCCATTACCACGTCCACTCATGCCCCATGCACCACACGCCAGACGCCTTGCACCATGCGTCATCCACCATCCGCCACCCATCACCCAAGCGCACCGGTGCAGGGCGAGCAGGTGGGCGGGGGCCACCTCAAAGGCGCGCTCCACCTCGCCCGCACTGCCATGCTGCCTCCGCACACCCCCTCGTCCTTTCCACTTCCCTCCTCCCACTGCTGCCCCGCCATCCCCCTGCCTTGCGCCTGCCTCAGTGCGCTGCCCTCCCCCATCCCCTTTCACTGCACCCTCTGCCTGTCCGCTGCGCAGCTCCTGCTGCGCCGCCTTGCCCGCGCCCTCCCATGTTCCCCTGCCACCGCTGCTTGCAGCCTGTGCACCCGGGGTGAGCGGCGGGGGTGAGGATGGGCGCTGGGAGGCGGGTGATGGTGCGGTAAGAGGTGGGGGTGGAGGGGCTAGTGGGGGCGTGCAGGGGGGTGGCGTGGAGGGGGGCGGCCTGCCTGCATGCGGTGCTGCAGCTTCTGCACCCACACCGCCCATGCCACACATACCATCGCCACCCATGCTCTGCTCGTCCTCCTCACACCTCGCAGTCCTTTTCTCCTCAACCACCATCGCATCCCCCTCTCTTCTCCCATCCCCTTCCCTCTCCTGCTCCATCTCTTTCCCCGGCGCACCTTCTTCCCCACCGCATCCCCCATCCACGCCCTCCATGCACACGTCTCTCCCCGCGCCCACCTCAACCCCCCCTTCCTCCCCGCCCTCCGTGCCACCCAGTGCGGCCACGGCAGCAGCCACGTCCAGCGACCCACCCACCGCCCGCACGCCCCTTGCAGCCGCCACCCACGGTGGCGACCAGCACACCACACCCGCCATGCCTGCCATGCCCGCCACGGTGACGGGTGCTGCCAGGGCATGGCTGGGACCAGCGGCCGAGGCGCTGCCATCCGCCTTCACACCGCTGCCTCCGCCCACGCCAGCCGCGCCAGTCCGGCCTTGCGTCGCACCACTGCCCTCACACGCACCACCACCGCCACCATCACCGCTTGCCTGCCGGCCCTCTCCGCACTCCTTGCCGCCTCCTCCTGCCTCCCCCACGCCCCCCAGTGCGGCCACAGCAGCCGACACGTCCAGCGCGTCTGACCGCCCGCGCCTGTGCCCCTGGCTTGTGTGGTCGGAGGCCTTCCCCTTCCCCTTGCCCTTGCCCGTCCCCCCACACAGCGACCTCTGCCGCCGCCACTGCTGCAGCTGCTCGTGCACCGCCTGCCCTCCCCCTTGCTGCCTCTGCCTCTGCTCGTCACAGCACCGTAACTCCACCACCATCTCCTCCCTTTTCCCTCTTCCATCCTTTTTCCCCTCTCCCCCCCCCTCCTCCTTCCCCTCCACTTCCCCTTTCCGCCCCCCCTGCACCTGCGCCTTCATGCTCTGAGCCACGCCCCTCGCCGCCACGTCATCCACCTGCCACGTGTGTGCGCCCTGCCCCCGCAGCCCTGCGCGCGCCCTCCTGCCGCCCAACAGAAACGACTCCAGTGTCAGCCCATCCTCCCCCGACCCAAACACCGAACCTGACTGCCTGCTTCGGCGGGGCTCAGCCTCGGGCTTCCAAGCAGCGGGGCGGCGGCCCTGCTCCTGTGCCGTCACGTGGAACACCACCTGCTGCGCCTCCGCCCCCGCTCCCTCTCGCTGCTCGCCTGCCCCCCCCCCATTCCTCCCCTCGGACTCGCTCACGCCTGCGTGCTGCTGCTCACCGACCACGCCACCAGCAACCCCTCCCTCACCGCTCCTGCTCGCGCCCTCACCGCATGCCGCTGCCCTGCTCGCATCCACTCCGCCGGGGGGCTGCTCGTCCATGTGCGCCCCGCTGCTGCCCCTGTGGGCGGCGCACGGCAGTGCAGCGCCCAGCCACTCCTGCAGCTCGCGCTCCAAGCTCGCTCCCCCTCCCCCCGCATTCTCGTCCGCCCTGCCAGCACCGCTGCTGCTCTCTCCAACCCGCGCGCCCTCACCAGTGCCCGCCGCCACCATTCCGCCCTTCGCCTTCTTCTCCCTCCCCCTCCCCTCCTCCGCCTCCTTTTCCGCCACATCCTCCGCCCAATCCCCGCCCACGCTGCCCGCGCCACTCTCATCGCCCCCCCACGACCCGTCCCTGCCTCGCCCCCGCACGCCCCGCTTCGCGCCGCCCACCTCCCTCGCCCGCGGCCCCCACAAGCCCCCTCGCCCTTGCGCCTCCCGCGCAAGCTCCCGCCATCCCGCCCCCGCGCTCGCCCCTCCGCCCATCGAAGGGCGCTGCCCTCCCCCTGCCGGTCCGCCTTCCGTCGCCGTCCCTGTCGCTCCGCTTCTCCCAGTGCCCCCGCGCGCCGCTCCTCTCCGCGCACTGCGCTCGCCCACCGCCCATTCGCCGTGGGTCGCCCATCGCTCGCTCTCGTCGCGCGCCAGCCACGCCGCAGCGCTGCCGGGAGTCCATCGCCCGCTGCCGCTCGGCAGCCACGCGCTCGCCGCCAGCCCGTCGCCCTCCCACGGCGCGGCGCAAAGCGACGGCATCGACACGGACGCCGCACTCCGCCGCATCGGCGCGCAGCCACCCGCCACCCCAACCCCCCCGCCCGCCTCCGCCGCTGTCCCGCGAATCCCCGCCATTCCCCACTGCCGCTCCGCAATGGGGCCCTCCGCGACGTCCGCCGCATCCTCGTCGAGCGTGCGCAGCGGCGAGGGGGAGGGGCAGGGCGAGAGCAGCGGCGAGCGGTGGTGCGACAAGGGCGTGAAGAGGCTGAGGGGCGAGGAGGACGCGGAGGGCAGGGTCATGGGGGACGACGACGGGGAGCGCGCGACGCACGCGGATGCAGCGCGCGCTGTGTTGTGGTGCGCAGCGGCGCCGTCCGCAGCTCCTCTGCACCCCTCAACGCGCGCCCGCCCGCCACTCCCCGCGTCCACCCACGACCCCATCGCCGCTCGCCTCGCCGCCCGCCACCAGCACGCACATCCGTTGAAGAATTCCCCTCAATGACTCGTTCGTACGAGTGCTGTTAGGGTTGATTCGCCCAACCACGGAACCTTCGGCGGAATGTTCTACAACTGTGAAATTGAAGCGCGTAGATGATCCTAGCATGAGGTCGCATTTCGGGCACTTCCAAACAAACATCTTCCTAACAAGCGACGGTTTTGCGACTGTTCTACGACTGTGACTCTCCAATCACAGAGCTGCTGCCTCCAACGTCATTGGCTCAACGACCACCAAACTTGTTTGGAAGTTACTTGTTAGGAAGTCCGAAATGCGTTCTGAAGCGGTGGAAATCGGCCTACGACGTGAGAGGAATCGAGAGGAAATAGGCCTACGGCGTGTTCGAAAAAATCCAGATTCGGACTTGAGGAGTGTTCACCGAATTCGGTTCGGTTTCGTGTGCGACTCGGGGTGACCGAGGCGCGCGGGAGATTGTTTGTGTAATGAATGTACAACTCATTACTGACGAAGCTGCTCCTAGTGAGGACAGCCCCGAGCTCTTCGCGTCAGATTCCGGTTCGGCCTACATTTCGACCGGAACCACTTCCGAGTCGCCCCGCACCAATCGCGACACATCGCACGTCACGAGGTTCTCGCCTAGCACGTATTCGCCCTATATTTGCTCGTTTCTTTCAGTGTTTCCTCATTCTGTAATCACGTCTTCTTTATAAAGTCTTCCGCGCACTCTGTCTAGTAAAACTCATAACACTTGGTATCAGAGCTACTTTCCTAGCTTACCACTCGGGGGGGGGGGGGACAGGGAAGGATGCCGTGGTGACAGGAGCAGCGCAGTAGCCGGCCAGGAGAACGGATAGTTGCTCCTAGCGGCCATGTTTTTTACGGGCGCTCCTGCGGCACCGACGGATCCTTGCCCTCGACGGTCGAGATGGACCGTGGCCTCCTTCCCCCAAGGTAGCGGACAGCTTTTGCTATTATCGCAAGTAATGCGTGAGTTAACAGTGCTCGTTTCGTCATTTTCGGAGTTAATTCTGTGTGGCGATGACGTCGGCAGGGGCGCTGTCGGCGCAACGTCCGAAATTGATGGATTCAACGTGGTGCGAGTCGACATTCTTCACGTGGTCGTCAACTGCGCACGAGATTTTCGGAGCGGATTGCATGCCGCAAGTGGTGTCGAGCATCCTCGTCACGTTGTGCATGAATCCGTTGGAGGACTTCGGCAAGTGGTGATCGTGGTCACTGTGCGCGAAGATTTCGGGTAGCAGCACGTGGAAAACGACTGCTGTGCGAGCAGCCAGGCGCATTGTGTGATTTGCATCATAAAAATCGACGGCGAGGAGAGGCGGCGTGGCGACTGCCCGAAGAAAGCGGGGGTCTACCGTCGTCCCGCCCGGGTGCGGCAGGTGTTGCTGCAGGAGGGTGCGTCGTGGGCGTTTTTCGGCAGGAGCGGCACAGTGTGGGACGGAAGTTCGCCGAAAAGATCGGAAAAGGCCGCCTACGACTAGACTGTTCGCGTTAGGGTCACTTCTACGCCTGCAACAAAGTCGGCCGAAATCTTCGGAGCAACAGCAGTAGCCGACACTGTACTTCGGGCGACACAAATTCTCCTTGATCAAGGGTGCCGCAGACAGGGCAGTACACCGACGGGACAACGGTTTGCCGCAGCGTCTAGGCCCGCGAATTTCCCCCGGTCTACCGGCTACAATAAACGGAGTTGCGACAAATACGGGTCTGGCGAGAGAAACGGATTCCGAGCTTCAGGAGGGGAGAAAACGACCTACTGCGACGACTTTTTGCTGAGGCCGAGTTTTGCGGCTAAGCGGCGGTAGTGGAAGGAGCTCCTTACCGGCCAAAGTTTACCGACGTTTCACGCACCTCACATCAGAAAAGCCTCGAAGGCGATGAGTAAGTCCTGTTGGCTACTGGATAAAAAGGTGGGGCCCTGTGTTTAGCCCTGTGCTGGTTAGAAAGGCGTGGGGGGCGCTGGTTCGATGGCAGGGCGTGCAAGAAAACATTTCGTGGTGCGACACTGTTCGGCCCCGACAAAAACGGACCATCGGCAACAGTTTCCCTGCCGAAAAAGTCGGGACTCAAGACATTGTGGCAGCTGGCAGTGTTTCTCCTAATTCAACGGTCTACCCAACAGCGGTGTAGCAGCGAAGACGGAGTTCCCGAAGCTGCGGAGTTTTAAATGCGATAGGCACGGTGGGCAGCGAAGCGGCCGGCTGAGAGTTTGATATGATAAACTCGCTCCGACTACGATTGCATTCTCGCCTTTATCGAACGCCAGAAAAATCGCAGGACAACACGGCGAATACCTCATCCGACAAAAGCGGACGCTGGGTGAACGGCGGCGGCGGCGAATACCTCATCCACTGGTGATCCCCGATTGATCCTAGGGAAGGGTTACAGGCACGGCGGCCTGGGGGGTTATGGGCGCACTCACCCGCTACACAAACAAGCCCTTTTATCCCAGTGGTTAGTGGCTGGGATTCTGACATGGTATCAGAGCGAAGGTCTCGGGTTCGAATCCCGGTGTGTGCACCTCGGGCATCCCAGTGCGGGGGGGTGTCAGAGGTCCACTGGTGATCCCCGATTGATCCTAGGGAAGGGTTACAGGCACGGCGGCCTGGGGGGTTATGGGCGCACTCACCCGCTACACAAACAAGCCCTTTTATCCCAGTGGTTAGTGGCTGGGATTCTGACAGAAATTGTCGGGGGGTGAAAACAAAAAAGGGAGGGAAAGTTGTGGGTGCCGCTTCAAGCTACTTGAGTGATAGGCGTACACCACTCCACCGCAAATTTCGGAGTCTGTTCGGTAGACCCCCGAAAGGGTTTGATATCGTTACATGGAGGCGCGGCATACGAGGGGTGTACTGCCAAGGATGCCTGGGATTTGCTAAGTAATCTCGACGAGTACGAAGATGGGTGAACGTCGGAGTACCAGGGTTAATGGCAGAAGCGTCGGGGCTACAAGGCAGAAAATACTTCGGGGCTTGATTCCGCAACCATGATTTTCGGGTGCAATTTCGACGCTGGGAGACAGATGAACGTCTCCTCGCCAGCTGTTTTAAGCGTTTTACGATGTACTTCGAGGCCGTCTGAGGAAGTCCTATAGCGAGATCAGCGGCGTTGATGCAGGCTAGGTTCCGTGAAATTCGGTCCCGGTAGACCCACAGTTCTGGGTTCCGCACGGAAAAGCGCCTCCCTTCTGGTGGGTTGCTAGTGTGGTTAACCACAGGCGATGAGAGTGGCGACGGGTGGGCACGCTAGATACACCGGTTCTTCAAGGGGATAACCTGCAGCGGACCAAGACGTACGAAGATTTTCGACACCGACACTTACGGGTTTCAGTAGCAGTACTGGGAGCTCGGTCTTAGCGGAGTTCGGCAGAAACAGTCAATAGTTTCGTGCGAAACGGCGGGGATGCAGAGGCGCTTGGTTAAGCGCGCAAAACCGACGGGAACAAGATTGGCAGTTAATTTCGACTTCATTCGGGGGTACCAGCGACATCACCGGAGAAAGTTTGCAACAGGTCAAGGGGGGGGACAATAGTTGTTTTTCGCCCCTGCCCGGGAGGCTTCGGCGTGTCACGACAACACCGACAATGCAGCTGACGTTATCGGCAGTTCGAGTTGAACTTCGGAAAAACATTTGAGGGGTCAAGGGGAGGATCAGCAGGTGTTTTTCGCCTCTGCCCGGGAGTTTTCGGAGAAAAGCAACAAAGACCTCGGCGAGTGGCGACACACCCGCCGGGGGTGCTGACAGCTGCATGTGCTGCAACATTCAGCCACAGCAACTAGACAGCATAAGTGATTTTCAGTTTGCAGTTGCTGCCAGCTGTAGATGCGGCAGCTACTTGCGACTACCACGCGGAGATTTCGGGAGATGCTGCAGCAGCAGTCGCGACTACAAGACAAGAAGACAGTTTTCTTCATAAAATTATTTCGAAGGGTTGCACCAGAGTCCAGACGCACAACGCTTACCATCTCAAAGGACTTCGCGGATTACCCTGGGAAATACTAACTGGTCAAGACAAAGATTTTCGCCACCGACGGCAGTTTTCTACAGCACGGTAGCCGAATTTTAGACGGGAGGTCGTAACACTTGGTATTCGAACTACCCTCGACGTACAGGGTGGTTGTGGATTCATACCCGCGCAACTGTGCACCTATTGGTGGGCAGTCAATTTTGACGGGGGGGAGAGAACGTGCTCTCGCACTGTACTTATCAGTTTCTTCTGACATTCGTTTGACACATTCAACATGACCGACGCTCGCGATAGCTTCAACGGCATCAACGACTACGGATTCACCAGTCTCTGACACCTGACCGACATCTGACATCGCGTCAGAACCCCACCCAACATCGCTCTCATCGGTGTCGTCCGTCTACATCAACGGCTTTCAGGCACCTGCGGATTTCAACTCGACATTTCGATCACAACCGCCAGATCGACATCTGGACAATTCGACGGCTGACATTCCAACTCTATCCAATTTCGCCTGGTCAACTCGTCAACCACGCGTCAGCTCAAAATCCAACGGGCTTCTTCACCGTCAGATCAGCTTCAACCGAGATCTGCAGTTTTCACGCTACTGCAAGACTCGACTACAGATAAGGGGGCCTTATCTAGAAGGTGGGAGAGTGTAATGAATGTGCAATTCATTTCTGCAGAAGCTGCTCCTAGCTAGGACAGCCCCGAGCTCTTCGCTTCAGATTCCGGTTCGGCCTACATTTCGACCCGAACCACTTCCGAGTCGCCCCGCACCAATCACGACACACCCAACCCTCGCACGTCACGAGGTTCTCGCCTAGCACGTATTCGCCCTATATTTGCTCGTTT